AAAAAAAAAAAAAAAAAAAAAAAAAAATTAGCCAAGCATGGTGGCCCATGCCTGTAATCCCAGCTACGCAGGAAGGAGGCTGAGGCAGGAAAATCGCTTGAACCTGGGAGGTGGAGGCTGCAGTGAGCCAAGGTCGTGCCACTGCACTCCAGCCTGGGCGACAGAGCAAGAGTCCTTCTCAAAAAAAAAGAAATTAATTAAAAAAAAAAAGATTGAAAAACAAAATAGAACGTTATTAAAGGATTAACCTATAGTTACAGGTTATTTTTATAATGTATAAAACCCCACAAGCTTCATATAATTTGTTTTTTCCTTTTTTTTTTTTTTTTGAGACAGGGGCTCACTCTGTCACCCCAGGCTAGAGTGCAATGGTGCAATCTTGGCTCACTGCAACCTTTGCCTCCCAAAGTTCAAGTGATTCTCCTGCCTCAGCCTCCCAAGTAGCCAGGACCATAGGCACGTGCCACCATGCCCGCTAATTTTTCTATTTTTGATAGAGACAGGGTTTTGCCACGTTGGCCAGGCTGGTCTTGAACTCCTGACCTCAAGTGATCTGCCCCACCTCGGCCTCCCAAAGTGATGGGATTACAGGCATGAGCCACCAACACCTGTCCCATAATTTTCTTCTGTTTGGCTTTACATAATATGATTTGATAGAAAATGACTTAATGACTATGTATATATGTTTTGTCCATTACCAAAAAAAATTTGACTGAGACTATTTCATAGGTTTCCATATTTTGAAATGAAGCAAAGTTCATTTTTTCTAGCTTCTAATCAAGTAGAAAAATCCATTAAAAAAATTAGTCCCAAGCACTCTGAGAGGCTGAGCAGGAGGATTACTTGAGACCAAGAGTCTGAGCCCCACCCTGGGCAACAGGGAAAGACCCCATCTCTACAGGAAATTAAAATTAGTGGGGTGTTGTGGCACTTGCCTGTAAGTCCCAGCTACCAACAAGTTTGAGACAAGAGGACTGCTTGAGATCAAGAGGTGAAGGCTACAGTCAGCCATGATTGCACCACCGCACTCCAGCCTGGGACAGAACAAGACCCTGTGTCTCAAAAAAAAAAAAAAAAAAAAAAAAAACAAAAAACAAAAACAGCCAGATGCAGCGGCTCAAGCCTGTAATCCTAGCACTTTGGGAGGCCGAGTTGGTTGGATCACTTGAGGTCAGGAGTTTGAGATCAGACTGGCCAACATGGTGAAATGCCCTCTCTACTAAAAACACAAAAATTAGATGGGCTTGGTGGTACATGCCTGTAGCTACTTGGGAGGCTGAGGCAGGAGAATCGCTTGAATCCAGGAGGTGGAGGTTGCAGTGAGCCGATACTGTGCCAGACAGTCTCAAAAAAAAAAAAGAAAAAAAAAAATACACACCCACACACTCATATGTATATGTCCTACAATACAGAGGACCAAAACAAAGAAAATATTGTAAAATACTATACCTCACTGGCAGACATATTCTTCACCTGTTCTGGTTTTAGTTCTGTAAAATATAAAAGTCAGGCACTTAAAAATATATAGATTTTGCAGTTTAAATTGTTGAAGGGCAAAACCAAGTACAATGATCTAAATGTATCTATTCAGTACAAATCATTATATTAAAAGAAAGAGACACATGTTAACTTTGAGAGCACATACAATTTATAAATGCTTAGAGGAGAATATTCCTTCTTAGGAATAACTAGAAAGTGTTCAATTTCTTGCATATTGCCAAAAACAATAGTTTACAAATCTGAAAGGGAACTTAAAAGAATGCAACTTGTTCTTTACAAAATGCATTAGTCTTTTTTGTTTTTACTCTATACTTTATGTACTTTTCTTTTCTTTTTTTTTTTTTTTGAGACAGAGTCTTGCCTTGTTGCCCAGGCTGCAGTGCTCGGCTTAATGCAACCTTGCCTCCCAGATTCAAGAGATTCTCCTGCCTCAGCCTCCTGAGTAGCTGGGATTACAGGCACGCGCAACCACACCTGGCTAATTTTTGTACTTTCAGTAGAGATGCGGTTTCACCATATTGGCCAAGCCTGATCTCGAACTCCTGACCTCATGATCCACCCATCTTGGCCTCCCAAAGTGCTGGGATTACAGGTGTGAGCCACCGTGCCTGGACTATTTATTTACTGTTTAAGACAGCACCTCACTCTGCTACCCACCCAGGCTGGAGTGCAGCGGCATGACCATGATTTACTGCTGCCTGGACCTTCCAGGCTCAAGTGGTCCTCCTACTTCAGCCTTCCGAGTAGCTGGGATTACAGGCACATGCCAACAGGCCTGGTTAACTTACTATATTTTTTTGTAGAGACAGGATCTCCCTATGTTGCCCAGTCTAGTCTCAAACTATTAGGCCCATGCAATCCTCCCACCTCGGCCTCCCGAAGTGCTGGGATTATAGGCGTGAGCCACTGCACTCGGCCATTTTCTGTACTTTAATGGATGCGAATCTTTTGTAAACCCAAATTTTGTCTACCTTAGAATAGCCAAAATGTTCTAAGAAAATACAACTGATTTATGCATTAGCTACTGTTTCTGAATCCACTATTTGAACAAGATTTAAGCTCCAGCAGCAAGAAAATTTATTTATCCAGAGTTTCAAAATACTCTCAAGGCTACATTTTTTATTTTGCAAAGCAGCAGTTCTTAATCAGTACCCTATTTCACTACGGGAGGTGTTACTGGTAATTTTTAACCAGTAAAACAAAAAGGTTTTGTATAATGTAGGCTTTTAATGCAAATTACAGTGGACACTATGATAACATCTTTCTCATACAACTACATTCAATTGTACTTTCTTGAATGAGAGAAAAGGGATGGAGCTATTATGATTATTTTATCATCACAGCTAATAATCTGAGAGCATCAACCATTCACTACCCATGCTGGCTGTGGAAATGTAGCTGAAAATATCTATGTGAGTTTATCCTAACCTAACCTAAAAAGAATCAGTCGTGGTATTTCGGCATCAACCAAGTAAGTTGAATAAAAACATAGCAATAAATATTTTGCTGTAATTCCTCAAAAGACATAAACTTCTCTTATATAATTTCTTTTAGACACATTAATTTCAAATGATGTCACAATATTGAAAAGAGCCAGAAAACAGGTAACAACATTTTCCTTACATTATTCTTTTTTGTTTAAAGTTTTCTTTTTGAGTTTTCTGCTGCTTACTTACTATCAAGAAGTGAAACCTCTTGCCTAGAACAGGGGTCATAGTCCACTAGCTCACAGACTGTTTTTGAATGATCTGTGAGCTAAGAATGGTTTTAATTTTAAGGCAGGGCATGGTGGCTCACGCCTGTAATCCCAGCACTTTGGGAGGCCAAGGCAGGCTGCTCACTTGAGCCCAGGAGTTCAAGACCAGCTTAGGCAAGTGAAACCCTGTCTCTACAAAGAAAAAAAAATAAAATAATGATCCAGGCATGATGGTGCATGCCTGCAGTCCCAGCTACTGGGAAGGCTGGGTGGGAGAATCACCTGAGCCTGGGGGGTTCAAGGCTGCAGTGAACCACGATTGTGTCACTGCACTACCGCCTGGGCAACAGAGTGAGACCCTTTCTCCAAAAGAAAAAAAAAAAAACTCTTGGCAGAGTTTTTTGGACTTCTTAAACTTCTAAGGTGGTATAATAAATAGTTCTAAATATTTCAAGCTCTTGTATACCTACCTCGGATAGGACCCAGTGCTGCATCTTTTGCCAAAGCTGTTAGGTCACTTCCTGAGTATCCATCAGTCATTCTGAGGAAGGGAAGGAAGAAACAGCAAATTATTTCCCTTTTTTTTTTTTGAGACGGAGTTTTGCTCTTGTTGCCCAGGCTGGAGTGCAATGGCATGATCTTGGCTCACTGCAACCTCCACCTCCTGGGTTCAAGTGATTCTCCTGCCTCAACCTCCCAGGTAGCTGGGATTATAGGCATGCGCCACCACACCTGGCTAATTTTTTTTTTTTGTATTTAGTATAGATGGCGTTTCACCATGTTGGTCAGGCTGGTCTCGAACTCCTGACCTCAGGTGATCCACCCGCCACAGCCTCCCCAAGTACTGGGATTACAGGCGTGAGCCACCTCACCTGGCCAAACAGCAAATTATGTTCATCTCTGCAGATTTAAATCTCCATATAATAAGAGGGTAAAAACTAGTTTCCCTTTGTCAGCAAACCCATAGTTAGGAGGTTTGATTTTAAGGGAACAGAAAGGCCCATTTGCTGAAAATAAACAAAATAGTATACTGCTGTTTCCCTGTAATGCCTCAAATTTTAATCATTAGAACCATTCCTTTAGATTAAGGCATACTATCTCCAGAGGCTTCATTAAATTGTAAACATGTCACCTGGAAAGGTAACATCTATAAACTACTGGTGGCCAACTGACACATAAACACAATTACTTCTCTAATTAGTGTTTATCTTGGCAAAGAATACTCTCTTGATGGGGTAAGGGACAATCAATGTACATTTCTTTAAATATGGGGAGAGACAGAAAGGTCTGGAGTAGAAGGTATTTCCAAGTAATTTGTTCTTTGGTTATAGGTATCTGGGAACTCAGAGTTCTTGTTAAAATCATTCAATACTCACATACTCGTTGAATACTTTAAATTACTTTATGACATTTTTCAGGGAATAAAATTCATAAGCGCATCTCCTATACTCAGTTTCTACTTCACACTGTTCATAAAGTTTAAGATTATTCAAATAGCTGAAATTAAAATTATTAAAATTATCAAATAATTAAAATTATTGAAATAGCTGAAAACTATTCAGCATAATGCAAAGAACAAGTTTATATAAAAAATCCGTGTTAGTGTGAGCAATATGAAATGTTAAAAGTTTTTTTTTGAACAGGGTCTCACTCTGTCACTCAACCTCCACCGCCTGGGCTGAAGCGATCCTCCCACCTCAACCACCCAAGTAGCTGGGACTACAGGTGTGTACCACCATTCCTGACTCATTTTATTTTTTATAGAGATGGGGTTTCACCATGTTGCCCAGGGTGTAAATGTTTAAATTACTTAAATACCACTTACAGGTTTAAATAAATTTATAAAAAGAATATACTATCATCATTAGATATTTAGGTCATATCTTGCAGAGGACACAGTAAGTGAAATTTAGATTCCACATATATATAAGAATAAGACGTAAGAAAAAGGCAAAGGAGGTAGAGGATGAGACAAAAAGTCTTCCGTAAATGAATTACTCATTTCATACTTAAGATTACTTTAAATAACTAAAAAAATAATTATTTACAAAAAAATAAATAAAAGCTGTGAGATAAACCAAATCCAAATTACTCACCTAGCAAGTTGTGCTAGTTCTTTTTGGGTCAATGGACTTCCTTGTTTACATAACAGATTTTTAAGCAAAAGTAGTCTTGTCTGCAAAATATTAAAAAATGATCATTCAGTCTAATTTAATATCAGAATTAATGATTCTTTTTTAATTTTGAGACAGGGTCTTGTTCTGTTACCCAGGCTGCAGTGCAGGGCACAATCATAGCTCACTATAGCCTCAACATCCTGGGTTTAAGCAATCCTCCCATCTCAGCCTCCCGAGTAAGTGGGATCAAAGGCACGTGCCACCATGCCTGGTTAATTTCTAAAAAAGTATTTGTAGAGACAGGGTCTCCCTATGCCACCCAGGCTGGTCTTGAATTCCTGGCTCAAGCGATCCTCTCACCTCAACCTCCCAAAATGCTGGCATTATGGGCGTGAGCCACCACACCTGGATAAAAACATAGCAATAAATATTCTGCTGCAAAAAAAAAACAGTTTTACAGAGGTATGAATTCATCTACTATGAATTTCACCCATTTTAAGTGTATAATTCAATTACTTTTAATACATTTATATAATTGTTTAATCATCACCACAATCCAGTTTTAGAACACTTTTTAGTTCACTCATACCTGTTTGCAGTTAATCCTCATTCCCAACTCTCACCCTGAAAACCCACTGATCTGCTTTATGTTTCTAGAAATTTGCACTTTCTGGCCGGGCGCGGTGACTCACGCCTATAATCCCAGCACTTTGGGAGGCTGAGGCAGGCGGATCACAAGGTCAGGAGATCAAGACCATCCTGGCTAACACAGTGAAACCCATCTCTACTAAAAATACAAAAAATTAGCCAGGCACATGCCTGTAGTCCCAGCTACTCAGGAGGCTGAGGCAAGAGAATCACTTGAACCCGGGAGGTGAAGGCTGCAGTGAGCCAAGATCACGCCACTGCACTCCAGCCTAAACAACAGAGCAAGACTCTGTCTCAAAAAAAATAAATAAATAAAAATAAATAAATAAATTTACCTTTTCTGCATATAAACAGAATCATATGATATGCGACATATATCATCTTGCTTCTTTCATTTACAATGTTTTGGAGTTTCATTCATAAAACTTAATATATGAAGTGAGTATGCAGCATGTATAATGGATAACAGTATCCATTAAATGAATATACCACATTTGTTTATTCACCAAAATGAACATTTTAGATCATCTGTAGTACTGGCTATTATTGATACTGCTGCTATAAAAATTCTTGTACAAGTCTTTGTGTGGACATACATTTTTGTTTCTCTTGGATAAATTCTTAGGAGTGAAATTGCTGGGTCTGACAGTAAACTTATGTATATCTTTTTAAGAAACCACTAAACTGTTTTCCAAACTAGCTGTACCATGGATTGGAAGACTTAATATTGTCAAGATGGCAGTTCTTGTTTCTGTTTTAAAACAAAAAAAAATTCAAACACAGATACATACCTCCTCATTTGGTAAAGACACATATACCCGTTTGATGAAACGCCTAAAAAAAAAAATCCAGCACTTTTAGAAATATAATTTTGAATTTAAAGCTGAAGCAGCAAATGACAGGAAAAAGCTTTTAAAATATAATATTCAAGGCACTGGAATGCATTTTGGTAGTTATTAATGTAAAAATATTTTTGTTACTCTTTTAAAACTCTAGTTAATGTTTAAAAATCCTTAATTTGGTATTGTTAGAATTAATCATTTATGTATGTGTATGTTTTTAATAGCAGTAATGCTTTAAAACAAAATATCTGATATAAGTAGATCTCCTATCTTCTTGAATCTGAAAAAAACTAAAATCAGCAAGGATAATAGAAACAGAAACGTACACTTCATCAACAAACTAGGTAATATTTACGTAACTAAAATACATAAAGGTGAACTGCCTAGGGCAGTGAAAATTACACTGACAAAGGAAGACACACAAAGGATCTGCTGCTGAAGATCATGGACATGACTGTCAGAATACAGTTTTCCTCCCCAAAAGAGATAGCACACCCTAAAGGGTTATAATAAAGCCAATCCCTCCACATTTAAACAAGCATATAGGCCTGGCTCTGCAGACCATGTAAACCCTAACTGATAGCATAGGAATGGCAAGGAAGGTGAGACTGAACAAAGAAACTCTAAGATGAATTATCTTTATAAGAAGGCATCTAACAGTCTGGTGGGAAGGCAATGTCTTGCAGTGACCAATATTTTTTAGTAGAAGAATAAATCAACCCTATCTCTTATTTACACACACATATACTTCATTATTAGGTAGGGCTTCACTGTAAGTGAGGGAGGCTGCATGTTAGTTTAGAGTATACATGGACTACTCAAGATACCTATCCCTTCCCCTACAATATCCTTCCAAAACTAGGTTTTCCAAGAAAACTCTTTTATTCAAAGAAAAATAATAAGCAAAAAGAAAAAACCAGGACAGAGCTCATTAAACAAACAAACAAAAAAAAACCTGCCCTCAAAAAGAGCAATCAAAACACAACAAACATAAACTAGATAAAATGAAGAACATGCATGAGAAGATTTTGCCATAGAGCAAATTAAAATTATGACCAAATATCTTTCCATGAAATAAAATAATTTTTAAAAAATTTTTATTTTTTTATCCTTAAGTTTTTTTTATAGATATGGAGTTTTGCCATGTTGGTGAGGCTGGTCTGGAATTCCTGGCCTCAAGTGATCTGGCCTCCCGAAGTGCTGGAATTCCAGGTGTGACCCACCACGATGCCCAACCAAAGAACCGTTTTCTTTTTTTTTTTTTTTTGAGACACAGCCTTGCTCTGTCCCCTAGGCTGGAGTAAAGTGCCACAGTCTTGGCTCACTGCAACCTCTGCCTCCCGGGTTCAAGCGATTCTTAACCTCCTGAGTAGCTGGGATTACAGGTGTGTGTAACCACACCCAGCTAATGTTTTATATTTTTAGCAGAGACAGTGTTGTGCTATGTTGGCCAGGCTGGTCTCGAACTCCTGGCCTCAAGTGATCCGCCCTCCCCAAAAAATTGTTTTCTATGAAACAAGAGCCTAATGAAATGTAAGAGCTTACGGAAATAACGTATAGATGCTCAAAGAAATAAAACAGAAGATGAAAAGTAGAATAACAGAAGTCAGGAAAGTAATGAATAAAAAACCACCAAGGAAAGAAGAGTTAGAAAAGATACAGCACAAAGGAGATTAGATACTAACCCAGTAAGAAATAAAGGCAACAGGCTTGGGAAAACAGAACAAAACAAAAAGACCTAAGAGTTTAAAAGGATTAACAAGAAAATTGCAAAAAGACCTAAGAGTTTAAAAGGATTAAGAAGAAAATTAAAGATAGGGAAAACAAAAGGATGCAACATAACACATAATTTATGTGCAAAAGAAAACAGAAAAATGAACTAGGGAAAAAAATTAAGATACCATTTAAAATAAATTTCCCATTTTAACGATATTTATTCTTCCAATCCATGAGCATGGAGTGTTTTTCCATTTATTTGTGTCATCTCTGATTTATTTTAGCAGTGCTTTACAGTTCTCCTTGTACATGTTCTTTCACCACCGTCATCAGCTGTATTCCTAGGTATTTCATTTTATTATTATTATTATTATTTTTTTAATTTTGGAGATAGATTCTTGCTCTGTCGCACCCAGGCTGCAGTGCAGTGGCATGATCTCGGCTCACTGCAACCTGTGCCTCCTGGTTTCAAGCGATTCTCCTTCCTCAGCCTCCTGAGTAGCTGGGATTACAGGCACCCACCCACCATGCCTGGCTAATTTTTTGTATTTTTAGTAGAGACAGGGTTTCACCATGTTGGTCAGGCTGGTCTTGAACTCCCGACCTCAGGAGATCCACCTGCCTCAGCCTCCCAAAGTACTGGGATTACAGGCGTGAGCCACCGTGCCCGGCCGGTATTTCATTTTCTTTGTGGCTATTGTAAATGGGATAGTGTTCTTGATTTGATTCTTAGCCTGGACATTATTACCGTATAGAAACGGTACTAACTTTTTGTACACCAATTTTGTATCCTGAACCTTGGGGTAAAATCATTTATCAGTTCTAGTAGCCTTTTGATGGAATTTTTAGGGTTTTCAAAGTATAGAATCATATTGCCAGTGAAGAGAGAATGATGACTTCTTTTCCTGTTTGGATGCCTTTTGTTTCCTTCTCTTGCCTGATTTCTCTGGTCGTAAAACGACCATACTGCCCAAAGCAATTTACAGATTCAATGCTATTTCTATCAAACTATCAATGTTATTTTTCACAAAATTAGAAAAAAATTATTCTAAAATTCATATAGAACCACAAGTCCAAATAGACAAAGAAATCCTAAGCAAAAAGAACAAAGCTGTAAGTATCACATTACCTGACTTTAAACTAAACTATACAGCAGCCCAAACAGCATAATTCTGGTATAAGACCCACAGGCCAAAGGAACAGGATAGAAAATTAAGAAATAAAGCCACACACCTGTAACCATCTGATCTTTGATAAAGCTGACAAAAACAAGCAATGGGGAAAGGACTCCCTACTCAATAAATGGCGTGGGGATTACTGGCTAGCCATATGTAGAAAAATGAAACTGGACCCTTACTTTTCACCATATACAAAAATTAACTCAAGGTGGATTGAAGATTTAAATGTAAGATCTCAAAGTATAAAAATGCTAGAATAAAACTGGCTAAGTCCCCAAATGCAATTGCAACAAAAATAAAAATTGACAAGTGGGGCCTGATTAAACTAAAGAGCTTCTGCACAGCAAAAAGAACCATCAACAGAGTAAACAGACAACCTACAGAATTGCATCCAACAATGGTCTGATATCCGGAATCTATAAGGAATTCAAACAATTGAACAAGCTAAAAACAGACAACCCTGTTAAAAAATGGGTACAAAGGAAATGAACAGACACTTCTCAAAAGACATATGAGGGGACAACAAACATGAAAAAATGCTCATCATCACTAACCATCAGAAAAATGCAAATCAAAACCACAATGAGATATCTCACACCAGTCAGAATAGCTATTAATAAAACGGCAAAAAACATCCCATATTGTCTAGAGATTGCGGGAAAAAGTAAAAAAATAACAGATGTTGGTAAGACTGTGGAGCATATGTACTGTTGGTGGGAATGTACAGTTCAGTCATTGTAGAAAGTAGTTTGAAGATTTCTCAAAAAACATAAAACAGATCTACCTTTGACCCTGCAATCCCATTACTGGGTATGTACTCAAAGGAAAATAGATCATTATACCAGAAAGACATGCATTTCATGTTTATTGCTGCACTATTCACGACAGCAGACATAGAATCAATCTAAGTGTCCACCAATGGTGGACTGGATAAAGAAAATGTGGTACATACACACCATGGAATACTATGCAGCCATAAAAAAGAATGAAATAATGTCCTTTGCAGCAACATGGATGGAGCTGGAGGCCTTAATACTAAGCCAATTAACGCAGGAACAGTAAACCAAATAGCTCATGTTCTCGTAAGTGGGAGCCAAAAATTGAGTACACATGGACATAAACATGGGAACAATACACACTGTGGACTACTACATGGGGGAAGAAAGGAGTGAGGTGTGAGTTGAAAAACTACCTACTGTACACTATGCTCACTACCTGGGTGCAATATAATCACGTAATCCATCCAGTAAAGAGAGAAAAAAATCAAGTTAATTTACAAATTTGAAAAAATCAATTTGGATTCAGACTTTTATACTACTACAGCCAATCCTAGAAACAATGGGGCAATATTGTAAATTCCTTGGGAAAGGATGCCCAAGAATTTTATGCTGAGCCAAACCGTCCTTCCAGTACGAAGGGAATAAACTGGCTCAAACACACAAGAACAGAAAACACATTTTCCATGAACCCTGCTTTGATCATCTTCTCATGAAGCCCAATAAAAGAGGGTAAGAATCAGTTCTGAAGTGTAAAGATAATTTAATGCAACCCAGAAGAACTGATCAATTTACCTAAAACCATAACTAAACCTTTACTAGACTAATTCTCCTGATATCAAGCAGTTGACCTCAAAATCCTTATGTAGTTGGTAACAAGAGGCTAGAGGATAGTACTGGAGGAAAACAGTGAATTTAGTCTTAAAACTGAGAGTAAGGAAATAATATGTAAGATGGACACATGAGTATATACTATCTGTAATAAATGCATGTATTTCCATATAGATCTCCCTACCTGAGAACAGCCTCGTCAAGCTCTTGTGGCCTATTAGTTGCACCCATTACAAGTACTCTGTCATCTCCAGCAGACTGTACCTACAAGCAAAAAATCTTTTTTCAATTCATTTAGAAAAGTAATAACAAATATAAAGATATTTGTAATTTTAACATTGGCCATTCAATAGGAAAATATATATACGAAAATGCTGCCACATTAAAAATATCATAATCAACACTTACACCATCAAATTCTATTAGAAATTCAGTTTTTAGGCGTCTACTAGCATCGTGCTCCCCTTCTCTTCTTTCACACAAAAGGCTATCAACTTCATCTAGAGGAAATACAAGTATAAGACTTTAATTAAAGACCAAGCTATGTGAATCATCTGAGATTAATCTAGTTTACTACTTAATAATATAGTGGGTCCTATTAAATTCATTAGACAGTCTTTAAGCTTGCCCTTCTTTAAAACTTCTTCCTTCTGAATAATGTTTCCAATCATATCTTTCCTATTTGGAAAGGGAAATTTCACAAATAGTCAACTTAGTTGGAAAATATGTTCTTACCTATAAAAATTATAGAAGGCTGAAGTTCTCGAGCCACAGCAAAAAGAGCCCTCACCAATTTCTCTCCTTCTCCCACCTAAAACAAGGCATTATATTGTTATACACATAAAATGCAACATTATTCCAGTTTTTTAAATTTTATGTTGAAAATCTAGCACACAGGAATTTAATTTCCCTTCCTTAAAACAACCAAAGATTTGGTTTGAGAAAGGGGACAGTATTACTGAACCATTCCTTACAATTTTAGACAATAGACCGTGATTTCATACAGCCTGGTAAGTGCTTTAAAAATTCATCTGTTTTGCTTCACCCTGCATTCCTAAGACTTGAGAATGAAATAGCTATTCGATCAAGGATATAACTAGTGAGAAAAGGGGAAGACGAGGGAAGAGAAAAAAGACACTGTACATATTATTTAATCCCTAGATTACAGGGTATATTTACAGAAGCAAGTAAGTTGGAATGCGCTCTCCTAAACAAAACTTTCTCTATTAAGAACACCGTGAAAAGTCATTCACACATAAATATCAGCATTTCTTTCTTTTTTTTTTTTTTGAGACAGAGTTTTGCTCTATAGCCCAGTAAGGAGTGCAGTGGTGCAATCTTGGTTCACTGTAACTTTTGCCTCCTGGGTTCAAATGATTCTCATCCCTCAGCATCTCAGGTAGCTGGGATCACAGGTGCCCACCACCATGTCTCGCCAATTTTTGTAATTTTAGTAGAGATGGGGTTTTACCATATTGGCCAGGCTGATCTCAAATGCCTGACCTCAAGTGATCCACCTAAACTTGGCCTCCCAAAGTGCTGGAATTACAGGCATGTGCCACGGCGCCCAGCCAGTAAATATCGAAATATTTCCAGATAGTCCAGAAGGTCAGTGAACACCCCTTGAGACACTCCCAGGTGCTGACACCATACAAAGGCCATTTTATGCACCAAAGTAATGAAAGAGTCATGAGGTCTGTGATAATCTACAGTAAAAATTTTTCTGTCCTCTAGGTGGCATTTATTATTTTTATTGAAGATTTAACTAAAAACAAAAGAAATGTCACCAGATTTAGAATAATCAAAACAAATATTCTAGGCTGGGCGTGGTGGCTCACACCTGTAATCTCAGCACTTTGGGAGGCCAATGCAGGCAGATCACAAGGTCAGGAGATGGAGACCATCCTGGCTAACACAATGAAACCCTGTCTCTACTAAAAATACAAAAAATCAGCCAGGCGAGGTGGCGGGCGTCTGTAGTCCCAGCTACTTGGGAGGCTGATGCAGGAGAATGGCGTGAACCTGGGAGGTGGAGTTTGCAGCGAGCCAAGATCGCACCACTGCACTACAGCCTGGGCGACAGAGCAAGACTGTCTCACATAAAAAAAATAAAAATAAAAATTCTCAGAGCTGAAAGAAATCTCAAAAGATCATCTCTTATGACATTAACATTTTACAGATGAAACAGGCCTAAAGTGATACTTTCTTAAGGCCAGTTCAGGATATAAAAGTTATGCTAGAGGCCGGGCACGGTGGCTCATGCCTGTAATCCCAGCACTTTGGGAGGCCAAGGTGGGTGGATCACCTGAGGTCAGCAGTTCGAGACCAGCCTGGCCAACATGGTGAAACCCTGTGTCTACTAAAAATACAAAAATTAGCTGGGCGTGGTGGTGCATGCCTGTAATCCCAGCTACTCGGGAGGCTGAAGTGGAAGAATTGCTTGAACCCAAGACGCGGAGGTTGTAGTGAGCCGAGATCGCACCACTGCACTTCAGCCTGCGGCGTAAAAGTGACACCTTGTCTCAAAAAAAGAAAAAGCTAGCCTAGAATCACTATCTCCTAACTTCCACGACAATACTTTCCATTATACCATGTGCATAATGTGGGTAAACATGCTTTAATAACAACTTGAAGACCAGGCACAGTGACTCATGCCTGTAATCTACTAGCACTTTGGGAGGCTGAAATGGGAGGATCATTTGAGCCCACAAGTTTGAGACCAGCCCTGGCAACACAGTTGACACCTTGTCGGCCCAAAACAAAATTTTTTTTTTTTTTTTTTGAGAGTGGAGTCTCGGCTCACTTGCAATCTCTGGCCCTCCCAGGTTCAAGCAACTCTCCCTGCCTCAGCCTCCTGAGTAACTGGGACATCACAGCGCCTGCCACCACACCCCCCGCTAATTTTTGTACTTTTAGTAGAGACAGGGGTTTAACCATGTTAGCCAGGAGCTGGTCTCGAACTCCTGACCTTGTGATTCGCCCCCTCAGCCCTCCCAAAGTGCTGGATTACAGGCGTGAGCCACCCGATCTGGGCCTCCAAAAATTTTAAAATTAGCTGGGCATGGTGGCACATGCCTGTAGTCCTAGCTACTTGGGATGCTAAGGGGGGAGTCACTTGAGCCCAGGAGTTGCGGCTGCAGCGAGCCATGGTCATGCCACTGTACTCCAGCCTGGGCGACAGAACAAGACCCTGTCTCAAAAATAAGTAATTAAATAAATAAATAAATGCGAATAATGGCTTGTAAATTTCACATAGGGAAGCGTAAAATGTGACATGAGAAATTAGGTCCATTTTATAGTTTACCTTTTAACTACTTTAAAAATTGAGACTTCTTTTTTTTTTTTTTTTTTTTGAAGACAGAAGTCTCCGCTTGTCCGCCCGGCCTGGAGTCATGGCAATCTCAGCCTCACTTGCAAGGCTCCGCTCCCGGGTTTACGCACTATTCTTCCATGCCTCAGCACTCTGAGAGCCTGGCACTACGGCACCCGCCCACCTCCGGCCCAGCTAGATTTTGTATTTTTTAAGTAGAGACGTGGCGTTTTCACCGTGTTAGCCAGGATCGTCTTGATCTTCCTGACCCTCTGATCCCCGTCTCGGCCCTCCAAAGTCCTGGGATTACAGGCTGCCCCTGTAGCCCGGATGAGAACATTTTAAGTACTATGGTTTATTAAAATATTTAAAGAAACTTACAAAAGATTTTACTTAGCAGAGATAATACAAGATAAATATTACTGCCCACATGGAGACCATCTTCTAGTGGAGGTGACAGTTAATATTATTAACTTCTCTGATTTTTTTTTCCTAGTTTTTAAATCTAGCAGCATACTGATGCACTGAAGACCAAACTTTACATTTTGAAGACTGTGTGGAAAAACACTGTAAACTGGCTAGAACTATGAATGTTTTTTTTTTTTTAATAATAGACAAGCAGATTAATTAACAGTTTGAACATATAAGAAAAACGTAAAAACTAAATCTATTTGCGTAAAAAAGCACAACTACAACTACATGCAACAATCCGGATAAATCTCATAAATATAATTCTGATGAAAGAAGCCAAATACACATACACACAAAATCCTACATCATTAGATTTATATAAAGCTCAAAGGCATGTTAGCTTTGTCTATGATGTTAGCATAGTGGTTTTGAGAGAAGTGGATAAAGATGGTGGAGTGCCTGGAGGGATTTCAGGGCCACAGGTAACAAACAATTTATTTCTTGACCTGGGTGGCGATTTTGAAAGTATATTTGCTTTGTGGTAATCCACTGAGCTGTATACTTATGCTATAAATACTTTTCTACACATAAGTTATTCAATAAACAAGGTTAAACAACAATACATGTTAAGATACATATGTAACTGATTTTTTGTGGAAAATAATCTAGATATTTTAATAACACAAATGTTGTCCATGACTATGATGCAGTTCCTCCCAAAAGCTTTCTCAGGATATATCATGAGATGGAACATCTATATAACATTAGACAATGCTTTTTTTTTTTTTTTTGAGACGGCGTTTCACTCTTGTTTCCCAGGCTGGAATCGAATGGTGCAATCTCGGCTCACTGCAACCTCCGCCTCCTGGGTTCAAGCGATTCTCCTGCCTCAGCCTCCCGAGTAGCTGGGATTACAGGCATGTGCCACAATGCCTGGCTCATCTTTTGTATTTTTAGTAGAGATAGGGTCTCTCCATGTTGATAAGGCTGGTCTCAAACTCCTGACCTCAGGTGACCCGCCCACCTCAGCCTCCCAAAGTGCTGGGATTACAGGTATCAGCCACTGCGCCCGGCACAATGCTTCCTTTTTAAGTCTTCAAAATCAGGTCACATCTGAGGTAAAATATTCAGTTCTTATCTAGGCATACTGACAAACTAGCATGAGACCACAGAAAGACAACTAAAATAATGACTATTCTGGGGGCTGCGGGGAAGCGGATATAACATTAAGCTCCTATATATTTGAAAGGCTGTCTCATAAAAAAAAAAAAAAACTAGAGTTTTGTTAAATCAAGTATGTAAAAATTAGAAAAAGCAGATTTCAGTTAGACATAAGGAAAAAATTGTATTAGCTAGAACTGCCAAAATGATAGACTAGACATTTCAATTTTCTTTTTCTTTACTTTTTTTTTTTTTTTGAAATGGGATCTCACTCTGTCACCCAGGCTGGACTGCAGTGGCATGATCTTTCGGCTCATAGCAAACTACCTCCCAGGCTCAAGAAATCCTCCCACTTCAGTCTCCCAAGTAGCTGGGACCACAGGTACACACCACCACGCCTGACTAATTTCTTGTATTTCTGGTAGAGACAGGGTTTCGCCATGTTGCCCAGCCTGGTCTTGAACTCCTGAGCTCAAGTGATCCACCCGCCTTGGCCTCCCAAAGTGCTGGGATTACAGGCTTGAGCCACCACGCCCGGCCCAACTTTCTTAAAAGTAAACTTGCTTCAAGATATTCAGGCAGTATCAGAATTGGGGGTTAAGGTCATGAATGCTATGTTGTTTCCGGAAACATGAAGATGAAACAGAGTACTCTTGAAACAAGTATGGATAAAAGAGAATGGTTGCTGTAGGCCGGGTGTGGTGGCTCATGCCTATAATCCAGCACTTTGAGAGATACATGTGGGTGGATCACGAGGTCAGGAGATAGAGACCATCCTGGCTGACATGGCGAAACCCCATCTCTACTAAAATACAAAAATTAGCCAGGTGTGGTGGCTGTAGTCCCAGTTACTCGGCAGGCTAAGGCAGAGGAATTGCTTGAACCCAGGAGGCGGAAGCTGCAGTGAGCCAAGATCACGCCACTGCACTCCAGCCTGGCGATGAGCAAGACTCCATCTCAAAAAAAAAAAAAAAAAAAAAGAGAGAGAGAATGGTTGCTGTAATATTTTTAATGAAAGACCACACTCACTGGAGCTCAAATCCTAGTTTCCCACTTCCTGGTTATGAGATCCTGGACAGATCACTGAACTTCTCTGTAATTCCCTACTTAATAAAATAGAGGTATGAGAATAGTATCTATACCTCATATGATTATTCCACAAATATTTATTTGTACCTACTCACTGCCAACTGAAAATGGAAGTGAAGAACACGTGGTGATAGTCTCTGCCTGCATGGAGACCATCTTCTAGTGGCGGTAACAGTGATATCAGATACAATTAAAATAATCCTATCAATGAATATGAATTTCAACTCCAATGAGTATGACAAATGAGGTGCAAGTGGTGCTAGGAGAATAATAAGGGGGAATAGTTTGGAGGGTCAGGGAAGGTTGTAACATTTCCGCTGGTATCTGAAGAATAAGTACAAATTAACCACAAGATAGTGTTACTGAGAAAGGAAACTCCATGAAGAGGAATCCCACCACAGGAAAAAGCATAACAATATTTGAAGAACTGTCTAAAGAAGAGGGAGTCTTAGCAAATAGACTTCAAAAACTATGGGTCTAACACCAAGGCTATCTCTATCATAGTGATGGAGGGAGGCTACTTTAGTCCAATGCCATAACAACTATGGTCAACATGTCAAGTTTGCCTTTAACTCACAGCTCATTATACAACCTTACAAATAAGTTTCCCATACATGTCTATAGTTACAGGCAGAGAGCATGCTGTTCATAGCAGCTAGACAATTCTGATCTCATGTCTGTTCCAAAGACATAGATCTGCTCTTGGTGTACTGATAAAATCAAGTTGCTTTCTCTGCAAAACTATAGATAGCAAAGTTATCCTTTGAGACTCTCATGGAAAGAGGCTAACTGGATATCATGTAGTGATGACCTCTGGATTCACCTCTGGATCTTTTTTTTTTTGAGATAGAGTCCCACTCAGTTGCCCAGGCTGGAGTGCAGTGGTGCCATCTTGGCTCACTGCAACCTCCGCCTCCTGGGTTCAAGTGATTCTCGTGTCTCAGCCTCCCGAATAGCTGGGATTACAGGCGCATGCCACCAAGCCTGGCTAATTTTTGTATTTTTAGTAGAGATGGGGTTTTGCGATGTTGGCTGGGCTGGTTTTGAACTCCTGACCTCAGGTATCTGCCCACCTTGGCCTCCCAAAGTGCTGGTATTACAGGCGTGAGCCACTGCGCCTGGCCTCACCTCTGGATTTTGGTGCAACAAATGCCAACACTTCAAACTTTTACAGGTAACATGTTCTTTCATCAGAGATTCACATTTCAGTTTAAGTATTTTTGCCAAAACACTTCCAACCATAAAAGTTCGTTTTGTTTTGTTTTTGAGACGTGATCTTGCTCTGACGCCCAGGTTGGAATGCACTGGCATGATCGTGGCTCACTGCAGCCTCAACTTCCTCAACCCAAGTGATCCTCCTACCTCAGCCTGCTGAGTCACTGGGACCACAGGTATTCACTGGCACGTCCAGCTAAATTTTTTATTTTTTGTAGAGATGGGGGTCTCACTATGTTGCCCAGGGTGGTATCAAACTCCTGGCCTCAAGTAATCCTCCTGCCTCAGTCTCCCAAAGTACTGGGATTACAGGAGTGAGCCACCATGCCCCCCTTGTTTTGTTTCTTTGAGACAGGGTCTCATACTGTCACTCAGGCTGGAGTGCAGTGGCATGATCACAGTTCACTGCAGCCTCAAACTCTCAGGCTCAAGAGATCCTCTCACCTCAGCTTCCCGAGTAGTGGGACTACAGGTGCATGCCACCACGCCTGGCTAAACTTTTTATTTTTTGTAGAGATGGGGTTTCACCATGTTGCCCAGGCTGGTCTCAAACTTCTGGGCTCAGGTGATCTTCCTGCCTTGGCCTCCCAAAATGCTAGGATTATAGGCATGGGCCATTGTGCCCGGCCAATCATAAAGGTTTTGATAAAGGCAAACAGAGACTAAGGTATATTTGGGAGGAAGAGGGGGCAACCAAGAGAAAGGGAGAGACAGAGAAAGACAAAGCAGTGTAAGGTTTGACAGAAACTACTTCATAGTTTTGCAGTGCATCAGTTATATTTACACACCAGTTCTGCACACCAGACAAATTACTCTCTTTAAGCACTGTAATTATGCATGCCCTACCCCAAAACTAGACTGAGCACTTGTTTGAATAATACTATAGGGTCAGCGGAGGGTGAATGGAAAAAGAAAACTAAATTATAAACAATCAAAACAAAACAGGGAAAATCTACTGGCCAGGTGTGGTGGCTCACATGTGTAATTCCAGCACTTTGGGAGTCCAAGGCAGGAGGATTGCTTAAGCCCAGGAATTCGAAAGTAGCCTGGCAACATAGCGAGACCCTGTCTCTATTAAAACAGAAAAGTTAAAAAATTAAAACAGGGAAAATCTTGTGTCATATTTTAGATCAGAATCAGAAGGTCAGAAATACTCAGTTTATGCCATCAGATCTGTGTTCATATCTGGTGGCTCCTTGAGATAAAATCCACTTTACTTGAAGCTTAAGTGGAAAGTGACAGTATTTGTTAATGGGTTGAACTGTGTTCTCCAAAAACGTGTTGAAGTCCTATCCCTAGTACCTATGAATGTGACCTTATTTGGACATAGAATTGCTGCTGATGACAAACTTAAACTGAGATCATTAGGGTGGGCCCTAATCCACAGAGGAAATTTGGATACAGAGACAGATACAGGGAGAATGCCTCATGAAGATAAAGACAGAGATGAGAGGGATGCATCTACAAGCCAAGGAATGCAAAAGATTGCCAGAAAGCCACCAGAAGCTAGGAGGGAGGCATGCAACATACACTTTCCCTCATAGCCCTCAGGAGGAAGCAACCCTGCCAACATTTTGACTGATCTTGGACTTCTACCTTCCACAACTGTGAGACAATAAATGGCTGATGTTTAAGCCAGCCAGTTTACGGTATTTTATTACAAGGCCCCAGTAAACTAATACAGTATTTGACAACACAAATGTACATAACTTTCTACTCTGAAGATTGATATTCATCATATGCAAATAATAGATATAAAACTCCTAGGAAAATATTTTCATGAAATATTATTACCATCTATAGTTAACAGTAACATTTAGACAGTAACTTAAAATATGACAATATTGGAAACAGAGCACTCACATATTTTGAAGTTAAACTTGCAGCACTTATATTAAAGAAGGTTGCATTCGATTCTGCAGCTACTGCTTTAGCCTTTAAAAATCACAAGAGCAAATATGAAATTAGTTCAATATATTACATTTAAAAGATAACCATATTTACTGATTTAAGTACTAGAAAAGATTCTCTGAAACTGTAAGCTATGAGGTCGGGTGTGGTGGCTCATGCCCGTAATCCCAGCACTTTGGGAGGCCGAGGCAGGCGCATCACTTGAGGCCAAGAGTTTGAGACCAGCCTGGCCAACATGGTGAAACCCCGTCTCTAATAAAAATACAAATATTAGTCAGGTGTGGTGGCACATGCCTGTAATCCCAGCTACTCGGGAGGCTGACATAGCAGAATTGCTTGAACCCAGGAGGAAGAGATGGTAGTGAGCCGAGATCACATCACTGCACTCCAGCTTGGGTGATACAGCAAGACTCTTGTCTAAAAAAAAATTAATAAAAAATAAAAATAAAACTGTAAGGTATAATACAATCCCCAATACATAGCAATCAATGTGTTCCTTTCTCAGTAATATGGACAGGTTACAGGAAGAGCTGTGCTTCTTTCTGTTCTCCTCCTGAGAGAGAAGGAGTAGAGAGATTTAAAAAAAAAAAAGAGACACTGTTATTCTCTTCTCTTCTTAGATATACAAGATAACTGCTTTGAGAAAGACAAACATCTAAGGAAAAGTTACTCTTTCCCTGTTTGTTTTTTCCATCCAGGAGGGCTATGCAGAGGAAAGAGGTATCCAGAGCCTGACAAAAACTTCTGGCAAAAGAATACTTAAAAAAAAAAAAAAAAAGCTATAACGTACTGATTATTTAAATAAAGTTGTTATGATAGTAGAAGCAAGTATCAGGGGTTAGAAAGATACTCAATAGGCCAGGCACGGTGGCTCAAGCCTGTAATCCCAACACTTTGGGAGGCCAAGACGGGCGGATCACGAGGTCAGGAGATTGAGACCATCCTGGCTAACATGGTGACACCCCGTCTCTACTAAAAAAATACAAAAAACTAGCCGGGCGTGGTGGCAGGCGCCTGTAGTCCCAGCTAGGGAGGCTGAGGTAGGAGAATGCCGTGACCCCAGGAGGTGGAGCTCGCAGTGAGCTGAGATCCAGCCACTGCACTCCAGCCTGGGCGACAGAGCAAGACTCCGTCTCAAAAAAAAAAAAAAAAAAAAAAAGAAAGATACTCAATATAGTAAGGTAAGCTCTTCCAAAGTAAAAATTTTATTTAATTTACAAAAAACAATGACAATCACACTGTCAAATTTAACCAACCAAAAACACACTACTGAAGATAACATACATGGTTCTCCATCTACTTCTACATTGAAAAGTAGCTGAAAAACTTAAATGTGTATCAGCCATAGGCAATGGCTCACCCCTGTAATCCCATCACTTTGGGAGGCCCAGGTGGGAGGATTGCTTGAGGCCAGGAGTTCGAGACCAGCCTGGCCAACATGGCGAAATCCCATCTCTGCCAAAAATACCAAACTTAGACAGGTGTAGTGGCATGTGCCTGTAATCCCAGCTACTTGGGAGGCTGAGGCAGGAAAATCACTTGAACCCAGGAGGCGGAGGTTGCAGTGAGCTGAGATCACTCAAAAAAAACAAAACAAATAAACAAAAAAACCCCAAAAGTGTATAATAGCAAAAAGCAAGTCATAAATAATAGGATCAGGGACAAGATAAAGTTTCTTTTTTTCATATTATCCCAAATATCTCAACAGAAAACTCGAATTTGAAGAGAACTCTTACCAGCATTGTCTTCCCATTCCCAGGTGGACCAAAGAGTAACAGTCCTCTGGCAGGAGCTCTAAGCCCTGTGAACAACTTAAAAAGACATACTTCAGTTTACAACTGTGATTCTAGAGACACTTTAAGTACTCTTTGTCATCTAAAAAGCATCCTTTTTTCAGTAGCATCCTCCCAAACAGAGCTGCCCACAGCTTTAAAGGAAACACATAATCATAAATTAATGTAATAATTAAAAACAGCTTGGTGTGGTGGCTCACACCTGTAATCCCAGCACTTTAGGGGGCCAAGATGGGAGGATTACATGAGCCCAAGAGTTCAAGACCAACCTGGGCGACATAGGGAAACTCTGCTTCTACAAAAAAAAAAATCAGCTGGGTGTGCTGGATCGATCGCCTGTCCTCCCAGCTATTCAGGAGGCTGAGGTGGGAGGATCACTTGAGCTTGGGAGGCCAAGGGTGCAGTGAGCTTTGATCACGTCACTGTACTCCAGCCTGGCTGACAAAGTGAGACTCTGTCTCAAAAAAATAAAACAAAATGAAATAAAACCAGTGGTAAAAATGAAAGCAGACTTTCATACTCCTCAGTGGTAAAAATGAAAACAGACTGCTTAAACAAGAGAAATTGAACACAGGCATGTTTCTCTACTTAGAAATCCCCCCAAATAATACTAAATGAATAAAAAAGATATGAATCTTCCAAACAAAAACAGAAAAGGAGATTAACACAATGAATTCCCACAAAATGGAGAACTGATAAAGTGTGGTAAATCATTTAGCAGAGCTTAAAACCTAAATGCCTACTTGTGAAGGGATACCTAGATACAAGAAGCACGCTGACGTGAACAAAAATCCTGGGAAGGTTCAGGAACTGGATGTATCAGGCACCACAGCAAGCAGTAGTAAGGCAGGCAGTCAAAAATAGGAAATGGCTCACGCCTGTAATCCCAGCACTTTGGGAGGCCAAGATGGGCGGATCACGAGGTCAAGAGATCAAGACCATCCTGGCTAACAAGGTGAGTGAAACCCCGTCTCTACTAAAATACAAACAAATTAGCCGGGTGCGGTGGTGGGCACCTGTGGTTAAAGCTACTCGGGAGGCTGAGGCAGGAGAATGGCGTGAACCCGTGAGGCGGAGGTTTCAGTGAGCCAAGATTGCGCCACTGCACTCCAGCCTGGGTGACAGAGCGAGACTCCGTCTCAAAAAAAAAAAAAAAAAAAAAAAAAAGGAAGAAAACACAAACAGGAACTGACTGAAAGTTGGTATGAAGAACTCCCCGCTAAAGGCAGTCAAGCAGGTACCAACCCCCACCAAAGCAGGAGGCAGGAGTTTCATTCCCTAAACAAGTAAGTCAGAGTCTCCAGACTCAGGGACACTAGGCATGGCAGGAGTCAAGGGTGGAGCCCCAGACTGAAAACATCTCACCTACACTTACTAATAATAGCGAAGGTATATGTACTTTTAGGTTGAATCATATGAAATGGCTAATATCCAACTTCAAAAAAAAAACTTCTGCTAGGCGCGGTGGCTCACGCCTGTAATCCCAGCACTTTGGGAGGCTGAGGCGGGTGGATCCCCTGAGATCAGGAGTTCAAGACCAGTCTGACCAACATGGAGAAATGCTGTCTCTACTAAAAATGCAAAATTAGCTGGGCGTGGTGGCACAGGCCTGTAATCCCAGCTACTCGAGAGGCTGAGGCTTGAGAATTGCTTGAACCCATGAGGCGGAGGTTTCAGTGAGCCGAGATCGTGCCATCGCACTCCAGCCTGGGCAACAAGAGTGAAACTCCATCTCAAAAAATTTAAAAAAATAAAATAAACTTTTTTTTAGTGATTTTAGGTTTATAGAAAATTGAGCAGAAAGTACAGAGTTCCCATATAACCTCTCATTCCTTTCCAATTTTCCCTATTCTGAATATCTTGTATTAGTGTAGTATATTTGTTAGAACTAATGAAAAAATATTCATGTATTATTATTAAATGAAGTCCACAGTTTACATTAGGGGTCAGTCTTATGTTTTACATTCTATGGGTTTTGACAAAGGTATAATGACATGTATCCACCATTGGATTATCATAAAGAACAGTTTCACTGCCTTAAAAATCCACTGTGCTCCACCTATTCATCTCTCCCTGCCTTCCCTGGCAACCAATGATCTACTTATTGTTTCCATAGTTTTTTCCTTTTCCAAAACATTATATAGTTAGAGTCCTATAATTTAGCCTCTTCAGATTGGCTTCTTTCATTTAGCAATATGCATTTATGGTTCCTCCATATATTTCTGTGGCTTGATATATCATTTCTTTTTATTGCTGAATACTACTCCATTACATGATGTTCCATAGTCTGTTTATCCATTCACCTTCTTATGGATGCCTTGGCTGCTTCCAAGTTTTGGTAACTATGAATAATGCTGCTAGAAATATTCATGTGCAGGTTTTTGATTGGATGTACATTTTAAACTTATTTGAGTAAATACTAAGGTGTAAGACTGCTGAATCATATGGTAAGAGTTTTGTAAGAAACCATCAAACTGTCTTTGGTTTTGTAAAAAACTGTCCAACTATCTTCCAATAGGTTCTACCATTTTAGATTTCCATCAGCAATGAATTAAAATTTCTGCTGCTCCACATCCGTGCCAGAATTTGGTGTTGTCAGTGTTTTAGATTTTAGCCATTCTAATAGGGGTGGCAGGGTGTCTTGTTGTTGTTTTAATGTGCAATTTCCCTAATGACATGATGTTGAGCAGATACTCATATGCTTGTCGTCATCTAGCTTCCTTTGTGGGTGTCTGTTCAGATATTTTGCTTATTTATCAACTGGGTTGTATATTTTCTTATTGTTGAGTTTTAAAAGTTCTTTGTATATTTTGGATACTGGTCCTTCATCAGGTAATGAATTTTATAAAGTCTCCCAGTCTGCTTGTGTCTTTTCATTCTCCTAACAGCGTCTTACACAGAGCAGAAGTTTTAAATTTAAACAAAGTTCAACATACTGATTTTTTTTTTCAAGGATCATGTTTTGGTATTGTACCTACGAAGTCACTGTCAAACCAAAAATTTTTCTCAGATGTTATCCTAGATTTTTCTCCTATGTTATCCTCTAGAAGTTTCAGTTCGCAAGTTACATTTAAGTCTATGATCTATTTAAGTTTATTTTTGTGAAAGTTGTCAGGTCTGTCTAGATTAACTTTTTTGCATGTGGATGTCCAGTTGTCCTATACCATTTGTTGAAAAGGCTATCTTTTCTCCACTGAATTGTCTTTGTCCCTTTGCCAAAGATCAGTTGACTTTATCTGTATGGGTTGATTTCTAGGCTCTCTGTTCAGTTCTACTGATCTATTTGTCTATTCTTTTGCCAATGACATGCTGTCTTGATTAATGTAGCTTTACAGTAAGTCTTGAAATTGGGTAGTTTCAGTCCTCTGACTTTTTTCTTCTTCAATACTGTGTTGGCTGTTCTAGGTCTTTTGCCTTTTCGTATAAACTTTAGTTTGTCAGTATCCACAAAATAACTGGCTGGATTTTGATTGGGACTGCACTGAATCAATATATGAACTTGGGAAGAACTGACATTGCAATAATATTTAGTCTCCCTGTCCATTTACATGGAATATCTCTCAATTTACTTAGATCTTTGATTTCTTTTATGAGTGCTATAATTCTTCTCATATAGACCTTCTACAACAAACTTTGTTAGAATTACACGTAAGTATTTCATTTTATTAGTGTTAATATGAATGGTATTGTGTTTTAATTTCAAATTCCATTTGTAGCCAGGCGCGGTGGCTCACGCCTGTAATCCCAGCACTTTGGGAGGCTGAGGTGGGTGGATCACGAGGTCAGGAGATCGAGACCATCCTGGCTAACACGGTGAAACCCCATCTCTACTAAAAAAATACAAAAAATTAGCCGGGCATGGTGGCGGACGCCTGTAGTCCCAGCTACTTGGGTGGCTGAGGCAGGAGAATGGCGCGAACCTGGGAGACGGAGCTTGCAGTAAGTCGATATTGCGCCACTGCACTCCAGCCTGGGCAACAGAGCCAGAGTCCATCTCAAAAAACAAACAAACAAAAAATTCCAGTTGTTCACTGCTGGTATATACAAAAGCAACTGACTTTGTATATTAATTTTGTATTCTATACCCTGTCATAATCACTTAATAGTTCTAGGAGCTCTTTTTGTTGGTTCTTTGGGATTTTCTACATATGCAAACACATTATCTTCAAAGATATTCATCCATTTTTTAAAAAAAATATATAGGCCGGGCGTGGTGGCTCAAGCCTGTAATCCCAGCACTTTGGGAGGCCGAGACGGGCGGATCACGAGGTCAGGAGATCAAGAGCATCCTGGCTAACACGGTGAAACCCCGTCTCTACTAAAAAAATAAAAAAAAAATAGCCGGGCGAGGTGGTGGGCGCCTGTAGTCCCAGCTAGGCAACAGAGCGAGACTCCATCTCAAAAAAAAAAAAAAAAAATATATATATATATATGGGGTCTCACTACATTGCCCAGGCTGGTCTTGAACTCCTGGGCTCAAGCAATCTTCCTGCCTTGGCCTCTGAAAGTGCTGGGATTATAGGTGTGTGCCACCATGCCTATCCCTTAACTGTTTTTGATCTATAAAAACAGTAATTTCAGGCTGGGTGTGGTGGCTCATACCTGTAATCCCAGCACTTTGGGAGGCCAAGGCAGGTGAATCACCTGAGGTCAGGAGTTCGAGATCAGACTGGTCAACATGGCAAAACCCTGTCTCTACCAAAATTACAAAAATTAGCCAGGCGTGGTGGCGCATGCCTACAATCCCAGCTACTTGGGAGGCTGAGGCATGAGAATTGCTTGAACCTGGGAGGCAGAGGTTGCAGTTGAGTCAAGATCATGCCAAGGTACTCCAGCCTGGGCAACAGAGTGGGGCTCTGTCTCAAAACGAAACAAAAAACAAAACAAAACCTAGTAATTTCACATGGCTCAACCTAACAGAAAACAAAGTCCTCTCCTCCCACCCATTTTCTGGGACACCAATAGTCAAGCTTGTATTCTCCAAACAAGAGACCAGAAAATTCTTTTCTAGAGAAGCG